CAGTGGCGTTCCTCGGCGCCCTCCTGCTCCGCACGCGTTCTTCGCCAGCCTGCCACCACCTTCGATCGACTTTGTCCTAACTTCTAACGCCGGTTGGTTTTATCTTCGTTCTGGATTACACGATGCTAACGATTTCGATATCGGAGAATAGATCTAGGAACGGACGAGCGATTCGACGAGTCGTCGACGCAAGTTCTTGTTTGACTTGTTTCGCTCATTCTGCGTGCACGTTAGCGATAGGATAGGTTTCGATATCGAAAAATAGATTTTTAAATCGACGAGAGTAGATTTACGAATACGTTTTTATGGAACCGCCGCGGAGTCGTTTTTTCTCTTGGTTCTGGCTGCGCGATATCAACGAACTGATTTTGGTATCGATGAATAGATCGATGAATGGATGAGTTGCAGCGAATTCTTACGCGCCACGATTTATTTTTCTCTTCGATCTGAATATACAAATAGATCGACGACTAGATTTTCCCCAGTGAAAGATGAATTTAAAAATGGGTCGATACGGGTTAAGGGGATCTTTCCCCAAGTTTCACGGGATTGATCGGTAGGATGGATCCGTAGCGCCGTGCTGGTTGAGAACCACGTAGACGCAGGTGTCGCGACTATTGAGGTTTTTAGGGTGAACCGATTTTAATTAACCTGTTAACTAGACGAATAAACTCGTCGATTGAATTACCAATCTCTAGGATGTAAGCTATCCAAAAAGAAGCCTACAAGTCTATAGTACTTTTAGTGGAACAGTGGAATTATTATAAAGAATTTTGATTTATTTCGTCAATATGAAAAGAACGGAAAACATTGTAATTTTATTTATAAATTCAAACGTATCTAATACTAAAGAACTAATCGATTTCTTCGTTTCTTCGTTTAGAAATTCCCTATTTCGTTAAGGGGTCGTTTCTTATTTTTGGTAAAAATAAATTACCTGCGTATATATGTAAAGTTTTAAGAAATGACTAGAAATCTTAAAAAATGATCCATTTAATATATTGGATCATATAATAATATGATTAATTCGCGATCAAACTTCCGAAGTCGATTTATGACTGGTTTTACAATTAATTGGAAGTAGTGGAAATTAGCTTTCCAAAAATGAATTTCTTTTGAAGAAGACGATTAAAAGGATAACAGGATTCGTGGCTTTTGTTGAAATTTTATTTATTTTGATAATACTTCTGGATGAGGTGTGGGAGTTTACTGAACGAGTCTTTGTACAAGCTGTTTGATTTGTTCGTCTGTGAATAGTATTTTGTTTCTTTATTATTTTTTCTCTGCTTGAACGTTGAACGTTTATTATTAAAGATATAAGGTTTTGTTAAATATTGTGAACATGTTGAATTCGTATTTATTAAACGTATATTACGAACGTGATAGGTTGTTTAATAAACAGAAAGTTAAGCTGCGTCTGTTTCTATTCTTTGTCTGTAAATTACACTTTCTTGCCTTTTTATGAGAAATAAAATTCTTGGCTTTAATATAATTACTTTTTACACAGAATCAGAAATTTTTAATAAGCTTCGGAATTTTCACTATTTTCCTTATTTTCCCTTGAATATTAATTTCATTCACTTTCACATAAATATCTTGGCTTTAAGCTGGCCTCAGTATTGCAGATCACCAATTTTTTACGCGTAAACGCAGACAAATATTCTTGAAATATCCAAAACCGAAAGTTTTTATTTCCTCTACGCTCAAGAGGATCCTCGTTTTTTCAGACTTACTAAAAAGTTCTTAACATAAAACAAATGCTATTGTAAAAGTCAATATTTAAAGAAATAAATAAAAATATAAAGAAAATTTCTAATGCAAAATGTTTTTTTATAATATTCATTATCATCTAGATTTTAAAATTCAGAGCTGTCTGAAAATGCGATAGCGTGAAAATCTGGTTTACTCCAATTTTGTGCCGAACTTCAATGACCTCATTCCTAAAGAGAAGACGCATCGCGCAATTCACGTATCCCATTTCGGTTAGACTTAGTACGGCCGTACGTATCATAACAATTTATTGTTAGCGCATGAAACTCGAAATGATATTTCTATCGGAAATTTGTTTAGGCGCGAAATATTTGTCTGTGATGTCCGGCAGCTCGTGCGCATGCTAAAAAGTCAGTAATGGTGTTTATTTTTAATTTTAGTTCTCCACCTTTGACATTCGCTGAATTGCTTTTGGCAGCATTTAGACAATTTGTTTAACTGTCGCATTTCTGTTACGCTCATTCAGAAATTTTTCATACACGAACCTACATGAAATTAATACATCCCGATTGTAACATTTTCAAGTAAAATATGATATTAAGAAGCTACCTGACTCGTGACTCATGACACTGCGATATGTATAGCATAATAGCATTTTATCTTAATTGTATCAGATTATATGTACATATTATCTGATAGTATCTAGTATTACATTAAGAGAGCAGTTTATACTTCATTCATAATTACATTTTGCTGAAATATGACAAACGCAAAAATTTTGAAACTGTATATAAAAGTTTGTCTTTCAATAAATGTTAATAAATATATGCATGTACTGTATGCGATTGGTTTAAACACTTTGTCTTGGCTTTAGATTGTAGATGTATGTAGAAAAACTGGTTTTAGTACTTATACGTATATGTATGCAATGTTGTGTTATTTATAAACAAAATATACCGATGGCAAACATAACCTCAAAGTTGCGGTTTCCAATAGTTCGACAGAATGTTGTTGCAAGTTAAATTCTGATCAATATTACAAAAATGGCAGGTAGTATGAGACAATTAGAAGAAAGACAACTTCTAGTTGAAGTAACACGGATGCAATGGTCTCCAAAAATGGATCTCTTAGCAATCGCAAATGTGAAAGGTTAGATTTTTCATTTAGTAAATAAAAAGTTGAAGTTTTTCAGTTGTTTAAATTTCTATAACACTTTATAGTTGATATTAATTATTTATGCAGAAGCTAATAAAAACATATTATTAATTTTTTAATAAATATTATCAGAGTTTGATTCATCGTAATATTAGTTTCATTTATAATAGTAGGAATTCTTGAATATCATAAATGTAATAAATAATGTTATTTTTATTAAAATGATTTTTATAGGAGAAGTTACGTTACATAGATTAACATGGCAAAGAGTATGGTTATTGAGTCCTCAAGAGGAATCCGATACTACAGTGAATTTAGCATGGAGACCAGATGGAAAACTTCTAGCGATTTGTTATGAAGTCTCTAAATTAGTGTGTCTTGTAGATATTGAGAATAAAAATATTATACATAGAACAAAGTTAATGTTGCACAATGCAATTACATGTATGACATGGTTACCATTAGCAAATTTAGAAAGTGATACTTTGTTAAATGGTAGCAAAGCAAATATGCTACCGACTGGAGAATATCTCCCACCTTTACCTAGTTTAAATAGAAGTTTTGGTCAAGAATCAGAACGCAAGGAAGTTTTATCTCAAACTCTAGATATACTTTTTGTAAGTTTAAATATCATAGATGTTTCGGAATATTAACATTGTTATCATCTATAGATAATTGTATATGCTATAGCTTGGCTTAGATGATGGAAATGTTGCAATGTATGTATTTGGAATGTTCTATTGCGGTACAATTTCTGTTGGTCATGGTCAAATATTAGAAATTAGTGGTGGATTTGGCAAATCAATGTGGATTACATGGAAGGATAATATTGGCATCAAAGCAAGTAGATTATGGTGTCCACTGTTGGAACAAAGCACAGCTTTTTTAAAGGTTCTTTGCTTAATATATTTTAAAAGTTTATTTCGAAATAATACCAAATTTCTATAAATTTTTTATCTAACTTTGAGGTAGCACAAGCTCAAGCTAATATCGAATACCTGATGGATTATCTTTCACGTACGTTAATGGCAATATCTGAAGCATGGGAGACAATTCTTTTGGAAATGGATGAAAAACTTGCACGATATGCAGAAACAAATCCACCTGGTGGAGTTGCTGCGGACTTTTTAGAACTGTTAATGATTGGTATACCTACCCAAAACTTAGAGAATTTCTTGCTACGTGATTTGACTGAAAAGGGTTTAAAAAAATTAGGACATAGCATTGAAATGTGTTATAGTAATATACAGGTATGATGGTAATATTTGGTGATAATTTCTTTAATTTATCTACATCACAATAATCCATCCCTATTTTGTAGAAATTAGTCTTAAAAAATTTAACTAGCGTTGGGATGGCCCTCGTATACCAATTAGCTGAAATGAGAGGAATGGTCAGATTAGGTGGCTCGTATGAATTACTAGGACTTACTGATGAGACTATTATAACTAATGCTCTTCATGCATCAGAAGCTTTTTTAGCAAAATCTTCTGAAATTCAGCAAGTGATAGATCATAGCATGCGTGACTATAAAGCGTTTTTCCGGTACGTTTAAAAATTAAAATTATTATCCAATATTTCTACTATTTCTATTTCTATTTCTCCTATTTTATATTTTTATTTTAAGGTGGTTATACGTTGCAATTTTAAGGCTGTCAGATGAAAGAATACCATCTGAAGTAAGTCGTGTCAGTCAACAAGAGTTAACATTTATCGCCGAATTTTTGCGCGGTTTTGATAAGACTGAACCTGGTGTTGGAGGAAGAAAAGGAGTGAATTTAGAGAAGTTAGGTCAATACTTGCGACGGGAAAATTTACAAACTTGTCTAACTCCTGAAGGAAGCGAATGGGCTACTATGCTCGATGAAAATCATTGTCTTCGTGATCATCCTCTTATTGTGAAACAAGACCTTAATTATTCCTTATTGCAGTCTCATGCGAAATTAATTACTGCTATACATAATGTTTTTCGTGAGTCTTACCAAGGATTAGTTGAACATTTTACCGTATCAAATATTGCTTTGTCGCCGTCTATAGGATTTACATCATCGCAAGTTGCAACAAACAATGATAGTTTGCTAGTAGCTACGTGTGATGCTGACCATCAAATATTACGACTGTTTAAAGTCGAGTGTTCATGCATAGAACCCATTTCTCTTAGGTTTAAATTAAGTACGATAGATACAGATTATAAATCAGGTTTGCTGTTTTACTATAAATATATGCAATAATTTAATTCTTTAAAGTAACATAACGTTTGTTTTTTACAGAATCTCATTCCAAAACGTACATAGATTGTACTGTAGTTGATCTACAATTTTACTCTAACGAACATCTCAGTTTACTGCTACTTAACAAACATACACATGCATCGTATCTTGTACAATTGCCATTGAATAACGTCCGAATTTTTGAAAATCAAGATAAGAATACAATTAGTTTAGTAGATCTTTTAGGTAACAGTTGGCCACGACCTTTTCAAGGTATAACTGCTAAAAAAATAGCAGTCAGTGGTGCGCGAAAAGTGGCCGCTGTTTTAAGTGAAAACAATAGGAAAATAAGATTATTAGAAACTGAAGTGGAACCTGAAGAAGAGGAAGAAGAAGAAGATGAAGAAGATGTAATGAATGATAGTATGTTGAACACTACTCATGGAACAGCTGCAAATTCTCAAACATATAATTAAACTATTTAATCATTATTTATATACATAAATATATATACAATATGTTACAAGAGAATTTTCATCTACAAAACATTTATTAAAACTATTTTTTTACTTATGAAATGATTATGTATTTTATGTCTTCATGACACAATTCCTAAATCAATGTATATGTATATAAATTTAAATATGGCTATGTATGTATGTGTGTATGTCTTTATGTTGCATTCACCATGAAACAAAATTTCTTTGAATATATTACAAAATTATTCATTATTTTTGCATTTGATTAAATACTCTTGGGAAATCAATATCAAGAGCTTCATTATCAATACCACCTTCATCAATTGTTGGTATAGACATAGATGGTGGAGGAACAGTATAGATATTTGGCGTATATTTTGCGGGAGAATTTTCTCTTGATTCTTCCAAATCTGAAATAATTCATATTAATTAAACATAAAAATATGATATTTTGTTTTACATATCAATTTATAATATTTACCAAAAAAATTGCGATTGTGTTTCCTTTTTGTTGTGACAATGAAAAGAACAATAGCTACAGCAACAACTATTACCATAACAGCAGCCATACCCCGTAATAAATTTGTCTATAAGAAAGAGACTATTGAAAATAAATAGGAAAAATATATTTATTGAAGATATAACGTATCTTAACATACCTCAAAATCGTTTTCCCAAAGATCTTCCCAATCTTTCTTAACTATTAATTCAATAGTATTACTAGTGATATTAGAACGATCTGATATACCTTTGGAAAAACACTTATAGAAACCAGACTCAGCTGTTGATACACCCTAATAAAAGATATAATTTCTTAAGATAAAATACCTAAAAGTTGTAAGAGGAATATTTACAATAATTACTTACCCTTATGAAAAGCTTTCCTGTTAACACTTCATAATTATATTTGTTTTCATCCATTAAATTTCCAGGCCCAATAATGCGGTTATTACCAGTAAGGTGCCAAAACATAAAACGATGATGATCATCACTGCTCAAACATGGAAGTTCAGCTATATGACCTGCCGGAACTTTTGTCACTGTAACTTGATCTTCATTAGCTCCACTTTTCGTTAGTGATAATAATAAACATAGAAATATAAAATAAATCACATTCATCTGAAAAATAGAATTGCAATAAAAATAATAAATAAGATTGGATAGAGTATATATTTATTTATTTTAATATTAATAAATAATGAGTTCAAATTATAAACTTGAATATATGATAATTTGTAATATTTAATGTATTTATATTTAATATTTAGATAGCTTAATTTATAATATTAATCTTAGTTTTTGCAAAATTTATTGTTAATTTTTTAATTATTGTAAACTATATAGATATTTAATGTAACATAGTAAAAACATATCTGGTCATTCTACCTGCTTCATGTTACTTATATCCAGCTCAGTAGATCACTATAAAATTGTTGATTTATCCACTTTATGAACTCATAAGTTCTATTCACACAAAAGGAATATTTAGATTAAAAAATTCATAGTAAAAATGTACAAACACTGTTACAGAACTTGTTCTACTATCAACTAAACTAGCAAAATGTTTTGTATCATTCGTACTGTGTTCTACTAACAATTACATTCCAATTCCACTGATCATTTCCATTGAAAGAATTTCAATGGTGTAGGACTTTAAATGTAACAGATGGTTGCTGGAATAATTATCATATGCACAATGCAAGCAAAAGACATTTGTCAATGAACCATGTTGCATAACAATAAAGGTAAGTACATAAATTCTTTCTAATGTTTCACTGTTATTTATTTTATATATTAATAAATATGCTAAAAAATATTACAGTCACTTTATTGTTTGTAAGAGATGACAGTCTTATGAACTAATGAGAAAAGCTTCAATAATGGATCTGAGGTAGAGTTACTTATTTATATCTTTGTCCTATTCATCCTTGTGCAATAGAGTATTTATAGTAAACTAGAGTGGCATCTTGTGACTACCATACTATCTAAACATGCACTATATACTTTCTCACTTTTACTATTCAAAAGAGACTGGTATGTAAAATAAAATCTAATATCAGGAAAGTATTTACACACGTTGTACCTATTAATTAATCATTATATAACATATACATATGAGATGCAAATAAATAATAAATTACTACTTTTTTACAAAATGTTTTTAAGTTAAAAAAATGATCCTCAAATATACAAAAAATATAGCCATTGTTTATAATTGAAATCAACATAATTTTGATGGCACTGATAATAATTATATCAATAATAATTAAAGTTAATTTATACAAAATGTATTCATATAAAACATTGTAGATATTACATACATTTATTATAATATTTCTGAATTGGCTGTGATTTGGTCATTGTTAATATCGATAATGATGCATCAAATTTATAAAGACATCAACTGCCAATGCTGGAAGAAGAATCCAAAATGGTCCCAAAACAAGTTTTGCTGGTAAAAACCAATGTGGTGCTTCTAATTTCAAACATATTAAAATTTGGGCACTTATTTTCATGAGCATAACTGATGTATACCACATCTGAAAAGAAGATATTTTCAATATTCATAAAATATAATAAGTACCCAGTTTCATCACAGTACATGTTTATATCAAATTCATAAGCTTAGCTTTTTTTTATGAAATATTATATTTTCAAGAATTTCAATATGATGAATGTTACAAATAATTTGTCACTCAATATATAATAAATTAAGTTTCCTTTTTAACGAAATTCTTATTAACAGTAGAATGGACAATACATTTTTTATTTATTCATATAATTAAGGAAATATACTATAAATTAAAGTGAAAATTTTTGCAATCTTCTTATTAACAAATTAATTAGTAATATTTACAATTTATATGCAAGTAATACTCTTTGATGAAAAAAACTTACTTCCCGAGGTAAATGATCAATACGTCCATTTTTAAAAAGGGTGATGATATTAATAATGATATTAACTGAAACTATGAGATCAAACAACCACAGTGGAATAAAAACAATAAACCAATTCCATTGTGTCCTCTGATCGAGCCTCAAGACAAGCAGAATCAGAAAAATCAAAAGATTAAACCATGTATATAACGCACGATGTAAAGCTGTCATTGGGATATATAATTAAGTACGTCAAAAATAACGAGACAAAACGTGATCTTGAAACTATACGATTATGTTGCAAATTCGGTGATCTGTTTACATCAACGTTTGATATACCACCTAACCTCTATTGTCAACTAACCTATAAGTTGTAACGATTTCTAAGATGTCGCTACTAACATAAATATATTAATATTATTCAAATTTGTATATCGCATTATGAAACAACATAAAAAATATATTACAACAGAATATGTTATTTCTTTATTATTTTCAATGAAGTAAAGTTCATTATCTTTAATTTCATCACAGTTTTTACATTATATATTGATATTATAAAGTCGCGAGATCGATTGAGTGATATAAACGGCTAGCCCAGGTAACAAACTCGAGATCTTATTTTTGTTAAGTAGATATATTTTTGGATTATTTTGAGATAATGACAATGTTTTTACTTTTTCAATTTATTCTGATTTATAATTCTCAATAGACGTAGTATTTATAGGGAAACTATATGTACATGAATATAATTTGTTATTATGTTGTTCTATACTGTATTTGTATTATATGCTTGTTGTACTGTATACATATGTAATTATATAAAGATACATTTATTCATATACCTATTTATTATAGGATGACATAAGTTTTGATTGCAATAACTTGAAAAATTATCATATTCATATACTTTGTACTTTTAAAATGATTGTTAAAAGGACATGATATTATAAGCGAAATATCATTTATTTTATAATCTTTTTTAACGAGTAACGCCATTATTGTTCAAATTACTTGAAAGCAATATAAAATTAGTTAAGTTATTTTTCAATATCTCTATCTTAAACGCTTTAAAAGTTTTTAAGCTATAAAAAGAATATCTAAGAACATACTATCACTAAGCAGCGACCTTGAGTCAAGATTGTTTCATCATTCAGTAAATGTGTTTGTGATTGTAAAAATTGTACGATCATTCACTCGAGCCGATAGTTATAATATTGTTCAACGAATTCTTTCAGAATAAGTATTATTTATAGTTTAATTTGCAAACGACATTTATAAATAAACTGAATTGAATGATATCATAATTATAAGGTGATACGTTCCTTGTGAATATATAGTAAATAATACAATTATCGTAATTATGCCGAATGAAGCGAGTTCTGCATCAAATGGATATAATGTGCGTATATGGCATTTAATAAAATTTTTTTATTATTTGTTTATACATAAACGTATAATATAAAATATTTATTTAAATATAATGGTTTCTTTTTAGTTTGAAGTTAATTGAAAATTAAATTTGTTCATTATCGAATTATGTAATTAAACGGTTATATTTAGATAGATAAAGTGAACGAGTACGTAAGTGCTTGCTATTATTTAAATTTTTGATCAGCTAATCAGATTTATAAATTCGACAATTTGAAGCAATTCAAAACATTGTTAAATTTAAATTAATACAAATCTACTCCTTAGATTCTTATTATTTGTCACTTCAAACAATGAATCTTATGAATATACTTACATACATGAATATATATCTTTATTGAGCTCTTCGTAATATATGTATACGTACATTATTCACTAAGGTTAGTTGATTGATTAAAAAACTTTCCCTTTGATAAAAATGCTTCCATTTGTCTAATATTATTATATTAATACTGCTATTATATGTACATATATATGTATATGAAATTATGTAGAAAAATTGTAGTGTTATGTTATGTACTTTATAGCAATTATGAAACAATCCTCTTTCGATGCGTTACCCAATATTTAACAATATACAACATATTACAATATATAAAGCCACATTTACTCTACGTTTGTAATACCTTCGGTAATATAGCTATAAATATACTGGAATAGTAGAACTGTTATTAGATCGAGGGAAGTAAGATCTATTTTAAAGGGTAGCGTCCTGTGTCTGGCCCCATGTAGAAGCCGGCAATTTCTCGAAGTGTGTGCATGAAAAAGTTTCAAAATCGGTAACGAACTGAAGACATTTCCGTACTCTTTCTCAATAAGTGTGCTGTCAAAGCATTAGCACTTGTGAATCTTACGGATTCTTTTTTTGTTTACCTTTTCTATCTCTTCTTGTGATTACGACCTTAGCCTCATTTTTAACACTTTTTTTACTGAGATTCTAACCACGTGTGATTTAATTTACGATGTCAAACTTACGATCACTGGTAAGTAGTTTGAATAAAAAATATAAGTTCTCTGAAATCGTATTATTTTTATTAATCGAAAATTTCGAAAAAAATTAATAAACCGTAATGCATGTAACTGGTTGGCATTGTGTTTTTGTATAATTCAAGCAATCAATTTCTCGTATATTAGTTTATTATTGTTTTATTATAGGTAATAAGTTTGTCCATTTCTATAAATGGATAAAAAGTGTAATTTAATTGTAAAAGAAATTGAAAGGATGTTTGTGTGATGACATGTTATGTACTTCAGTAAATTAAATTGTTTAAAAGCTGAAGATTCTAAGTATTTATTGTTGTAAGAAGAATCTATAAAGTTCGTGATTTAATGTATTTCTATATATGCAGATGACATTCAATAGATTGTCACGTTTTGAGTATTCTCATTTACTTTGTTGATAATATCTTTTGAATTGGTATTGTATTTTTCAAATTAGTTTTATGTATTAGAAATCAGTACTTAAGTATTACACATAACTCTTTAATAATCTTCAAAATGCTTGCAAATTTGATCAGAATTTTAAATACAATGAATATGTTTATTTTATAAACTTTATTTTCAAATTTGTAATTTTTATACTTTCCTTTTTTTGTTTTAGTTTGTATCAGTATTAGCTGCTGTAGGAACCATAGCTGTAATAGGATTAGCAGTGAAATTTTACAACAGTTGGAGAAGTGATAAGAAAAAGAAATCTCCAATTTTACTGGTTGAACCAGTTGTTAAATATAGTTTACCATTAATAAAAAAAGACATATTAAGTCATGATACAAGAAAATTCAGATTTGCATTGCCAACTTCCGATCATGTATTAGGATTACCAATCGGTCAACATGTTCATTTAACAGTGAAGATTGGGGATGAAGTCGTTATACGCTCTTATACACCTGTATCAAGTGATGATGACCATGGTTATGTAGATCTTGTTATTAAGGTAAATAATAAAATGTATAAAATATGATCTATGCAGTTCAATATGAAAGTCATGAATAAAATTATATATTTAGGTATATTTTAAAAATGTACATCCAAAATTCCCTGAAGGAGGAAAACTGTCTCAATACTTAGAAAACTTAAAAATTGGGGAGACAGTTGATTTTAGAGGACCTTCTGGTCGGCTTGTTTATAAAGGCCATGGAAAATTTTCTATAAAAATTTTGAGGAAAGATCCACCTGTGGAATATAATGTTAAAAAGGTACATATATTTAATTTATGCAATTATATTTTCTGTTTGTAAACTTTAAGGAATAAATAAATTTGTATGTTGTTGCAGATTGTAATGTTAGCTGGTGGGACAGGAATCACACCAATGCTACAATTAATTCGTGCTATAATAAAGGATTCTACAGATGAAACTCAAGCTTCGCTACTTTTTGCCAATCAAACAGAAAAAGATATATTACTTCGAGAAGAATTAGATGATATTGCAAAGAATCATCCTAACAAATTGAAACTCTGGTATACAATAGATACTAGTAGTGAAAATTGGCCATACAGTACTGGATTTATAAATGCAGATATGATCAAGGATCATCTATTTCCTCCATCACCTGATACAATAGTACTTA